CCTAACCTACCCTAGTCCCCAGCTGGACTCCGTACCGAAAAACCCTCCAGATGAAAGTCCGCTTAACATGAGTGGTGGGTGGAGGGTGGTGTGTGGTGGGTGGTGGGTGGAACGGTTAGTAGGCAGGATGAGCGAGGACAGCCAGCTCAAGTGCTCCTAATTGACTTGCCAATGTGAAGGAGGATTGGCCAGACTTGCCAGCAGCTGGATAATCATCAGGGGAAAGGGGTGACTGTCCCACGACAGTGCTGTCGCCAAAGCAAGCATCGCGATACTTGCTGCCTATCGTTGCACGTGCAACACAAACAAATCCACAAGAAATTCAACTGCTTCAACAGAAAACTCGTCTGTTGAGGGGGCTGTCTTAATCTGCGCACAATTTTATTTGATTTTATCTTTACCAATTAATGGGCGCAATAATTTACTTTATTTTTGTTTAATAGTTTCAACTTGAAGTGATGCCCACATTTATTCGCTAGCTCATTCTGCTTCAACAAATAAATGGCTACATTGCCAGAGAAATAGAAAAAAGCAATTCTATAATTTTCTATTTTTTCTGTTAAATCAAAATACATTTAAAACAGAAATATGAAACGAAGAAAATATTTTCCATTTTGAGTGTATATTTGGAGTAACATTTTAAAATTTGTTGTTGAATGTTTGAAGCTGCTGCTGTGGGTGCTGCTGCCCTGCTTCTGTTGCTGTTGCTGTTTCTGTTGCTTCGATGAACATTTTTCGGGCCACTTTCAAGTCACCAACAATTTGAGTGACGCCCGCGGCTGTCAAACTTTTAATAGCCAAAAACGGGGAGCAGCAGCAGCAACAACAACTGAAAGTAGGAAAAAGCTGAAGTACAGTGATTGAGAGGGGGGGGGCAGGGTGGCGTAGGGAAGCGAAAATTCAAAACGTGCGACACGTGCGCTGGGCTCGGGGTCTCGTCTCCCTCCCACCGCCGGATCTTCTGGGGTGTTCTGGCAAAATGCATAAAATTTAAAGCACACGCACATGGGTGGGTGGGGCAGGATCGGGCAGGCAGCATGTTGCGGGGCTGGCTGGATGGGTGGAGGGGGTGGGCAAGGTCAAGGCTCTAGCAACTGCTACAAAGTAATTCGTTTCCGCTTCATTACTTCCACCGCCTCGCACTCGGAAAGCACTCAGAGGACGAAGCACCCATCCCACCCATCCACCCCTCCCATCCGACACACACACCCCGGCCAAAATAAAAGTAAAGTAAAGTAAAGTAAAAGTAAAGTAAAGCAAAGTCAAGTAACAGGCAGAAACAGAATACAGTCGAGTAAAACAAAATAAAATGAAATAAAACAAATCGACACTGGTAAATAAAATGCGCAATTGACAGGCGTAAAAGGAAATGGCAACAGCCGCAGCAGCCTCTCGCACACACACACACACACAGAGACAGATACAGATACAGATAGAGGGATGCAGACACAGACAGAGATACAAAGATACAGAAACCAAAACAGACGCAGATACAGATACAGAGACGGAGACTGAGACTGGCATCCGCCTCTGACTCGCTCTCTTCGCTTCGTCGCCTTGCCACCTCACCTGCCAACCTGCCAACCTGCCTTTGCCAAATGTTTATAGGCAAATACAAACAAGCAAATATGCACAGCGAATAAGAGGGAGAGAGAGGTGGAAAGACAAATATATGTACTGAAAGGGGAGCTAGCGTAATGGCGGCTAATTAACGCATCCATCGACTTGAACTTGTTGAGTGACTTCCAAATAATTATCCACAAGAATTAAAATACGACAGCAACGGCTCTAAGTGCGCCGAAGTTAAACCAATTTGTTGTGGTTCCTTGGAATATTCTTTTTGTATGAATTTAACGTTCCTTAAGATCGAAAATTTCCTACTGCTACGCTGCCAGTGCCCCCTACCATTGTGCCACTGTGAATATTCCTTCGAAAAGCATTCGAAAATTCACACAACTCCAAAATGGATAGATGGATAGGGTACGTTAAAGTCGTTGCCTTGAGATCCCCCCATTGATCCATTGCATTCCCCGCCTTGTACCCCCCCCCTGCACTCAGCACTCTTCGCTCTTCACTCGCCACAGAGCTTTGTCGCTCCACTTTGCCAGCGGCCATAATAAACAATGCGATGGCTTCGATGGAAGAATTTAATTAAAAGCAGTTTCACTTACTGCTGACACACTTGCTGCCACAGCCACTGCCACAGCCACAGCCACTGCCACTGCCACAGCCAATGCTTGGGGGCGGAACCAAAGAGAACCAAGGAAAATTGTGGGGCAAATTGTGAGATTTATTTGTGCAAGAAAACAAACAGTGTTGGATTACAGCGAGCTGAGCTCCAGTGAACCAGCCAGTGCGGAAACTAAAGAACCAATTATTCAGTCTTCACTGTGGAACAACTGAAGCTGCAACAGCAACTGAAACTGAAACTAAAGCTGCAACTGAAGCCAGTGAAATCAGTGCTGGGGAAAACCAATTAGAACAGGCAGAAGCTTAGCTTCTAAACTTTTCCCCTTTTGCTGAGAATATTTTCTGCTTTTATGCGAAGTTTTCGAGCTGTTGTCTGCCGTTAACTCCAATGTGTTAAGCAGCTGCTTCTCAAACGGGGTTTTTTGGTCACCATTCAATGAGTGCAGATCATTGAAACGAGCCACAGCCACATCCGCAGAGAGAGAGAGAGCAGTGTTTGTGTGCCACAGATTTGTACAAATACTCGTAATCACAGCCCCCCCACAACCACACGCCACCGAAGAGTATTTACCAAGCAGCATGAATCCTACGCGCATGTGGCCTTACCTATGCTCAGATCTATGCTCTTATGTGCCAGCATCGATATATCCTTTTGCTGGACTCCATCTGCGTGCAAACTATAAAAACCAGAAGCTCAATTATCAAAAAAGGCTACGTGTGTGTTTGCTTTGCCATTGTCTGCCGTCTGCCCCTCGGTGTGTGTGTGTGTGTCTCGGTCTCCTGCTCATTGTCGCCTCCGACTTGCCAGTCGATATCAAAATCGAACTGGAACTGAAGCTGAAGCTGGAGCTGGGTGCTTGCCATCTGAAAGCTTTGTCCCTTTGGGTTTTTGTGTGTGCGCTCGCCTTTGACTGTGCAAATAGATAAATTTATTTATTTTATGCCCTGCTGCCTGTCCCGTGGCTGCTGCTGCTGCTGCTGCTGCAAAAACCGCACACAAACAATTGCGATAGCATAGAAATTTACTTTCTATTCTCCCTCTAAAATAAACCAAAAAACCCACAAAAAAATATAGGCAAACAGGAGGGAGTGCGGGTGCGAGTGGGAGGCCAGACAGCAGCCGGCGGACTTTAAATGCCTTTATGCTCACAATATACATAAATTGAACATTTTCGAGCTGCCACAGCCACAGCCACACGAAGAAAGCAAACAGAATAGGAAGAGAGAGAGAGGGGTAGACACTTTCGCTGAATTGGAAATCGCTTACACAATACTCAAAAAACCAAATGGTGGTAGGGATAGGGTTTGGCATGGGCTAGGGGAAGAGGAAGCGGAATATGTATAAATTTTGGCAAGAAAATATTAAAAAAATTCCACAATGAAGCCCAAAGAAAGTGAATGGCAGCAATTCAAAGCAAACTTTCCATGATTAAGCCATAAATAATTCGACAAATGTTACATTTGTTTTCCAAGAAGGATTTCACTCTCTCTATTTCCATGTACAGTAATCTATATACTCCTCGTACATATGTACCTATATATATAGACCTATATAGGTATGTCTTTGAGCCACATTTAGTCGAGCCTTAATCGATTGCGGAAACTTTTGGCGCCATCCGAAAAAGGACAGCGACAACAGCAATGAAAATGAAAAAGAAAAACCAAAATAAAGAAAAGTCAAGTAAAGTAAAGAAACACACACACACACAAAATACGTAGAATAGATGACATGAACAGACTCTGTGTTGCTTCATTTTTTTTTTTTATGTGTATATACACTTATGCTCAATACCCAAAAATACATTATAAATTATAGTTCAGCTGCAGGCAGCCAGGCAGCTAGGCAGCCAGGCAGCTGGAAGCCATCTCCGCCGCTTACGCCTCGTATACGCAATGCGCCCAATGACAATGGCAACAGGAAGGCAAAAGAAAATCCTGTATAAAAATGCTGCCATACCATTCACGTGTATCAGCCTCTGTGTGTGTGTGTGTGTGTGTGTGTGTGTGTGTGTGTGTGTGTGTGTGTGTGTGTGTGTGTGTGTGTGTGTGTGGAGCATTCGTGCGTGTGTCTTTATATCGAAAAGTTTTTGCCACTTTCTTTAGCCAGAGCTCAACTTTTGTTATGCTCGCTTAGCCCCGGCTATGGGTCTCAGACTGGGACCTGGAATGGGGTCTGTGCCAGGCTATTTCTGTACATTGTATGTACATTTCTATGCTGCTTTCACTTGACTCTCACTTTCATGGCTCCTTCTTGCCACACATATTTTGCACTTGATGTCTGTGTGAGAGGCAGCAGAGGGAAGCGCAGGGCCCCTGTCCGGGGGGGGGGCCTGTGAGGTAAAGGTTCAGGTTTTAGTTTCAGCTGACGATTGAGTTTGTTTGCCTACTTTAAACACAAAAACCGATCGGGGAAGAAAAATGAATGTCTTTCTGCCTGTGTGTGTGTGTGTGTGTGTTTGGGTAGGGATGTCAGTTTCAGCCTTCAGCGGCTACTCTCCTCCTGCCACCCACCCACATGCTTTGTGTGTGCTTTGTGTGCTACAAATTGTTTGGCTTTGGTAGCAAATTCCCAGCGTTATTGTTAAGGTTTTTATGGAGTCTGTCCTGTCCTGTCCTGCCCGAGATGCCCGTGGAGAGATAGACTCGAAAACTAATTTCTGGCACACAAAAATATTGTTATAGGACCCTACTCCACTCCATTCCAGCGCTTATGGACTGAGCAGATTAAGAGAACAATAAACGAGTATATACATACATATACATACATACATACATATATGAACCGTTTCCCTTTTCCTTTTCTTTTGCAGGTAAATGGGGCCTGGGCATTGCCTGATGTTGTTTGTGATTTCTATATAGCCATGGATGTGATATGCTCTACTTCATCGATATTCAACTTAGTTGCCATCTCCATAGACAGGTAAGCCACCCACCCACACACCCACACACCCAGCCACCTATGCCCCACCCACCCACACTTATCCACTAGTTATTTAATTATTTAATTATTATTTTTGCACTCTCCACAGATACATCGCTGTGACGCAGCCAATAAAGTACGCCAAGCACAAAAACAGTCGCCGCGTTTGCCTTACGATACTGCTGGTGTGGGCCATATCGGCTGCCATCGGCTCGCCGATAGTTCTTGGGCTGAACAACACGCCGAATCGCGAGCCGGATGTGTGCGCCTTCTACAATGCCGACTTTATACTATACTCGTCGCTGAGCAGCTTCTACATACCTTGCATCATCATGGTGTTCCTCTACTGGAACATATTCAAGGTGACGAATCGCTCCACTCCGCAGGCAACAAAATCAATATCGCAGCCATATCGAATGAGGCTTTTAATTCCCAATCCAAATACTCGCCTCTCGAGCTCCCATTAGCTGTTGAACGCTGCTGAACGCTGTTCCCTTGCTGGCTTGTGGTAGCTAATCAAAATCGGATTTGCTACTGCTCTAAATACTCATTAATGCCTGGCCAGGCTTTGGCCCGTCCTGTCCTATCCCGTCCTGTCCCGTCCGGATTTTCCCGGCTGTAATACCCTGCTGACTCGTGCACAATTCACAGTTTACAATCCACCAAAGAACCGAACCGAACCGAATCGAATGGAATCGAATGGATGCATAGTTTACACACATTAGCTCTGTAGCATCCATCCACATGGAGACTGCAAGCGCAGCATATCCTGGATTAATTCTCCCACTCACCCACGCTCTCTCTATCTCTCTCTCTCTCTCTCTCTCTATCTGCGTCTCTGTTTGCGTCTCCCTTTTGTTACAGGCCCTGCGTAGTCGTGCCAGAAAACAGAGGGCGGCCCGTAAGCCGCACCTCTCGGAGCTGACGGGCGGCAGCGTCATCGAGAACATTGCCCAGACGAGACGACTGGCGGAGACGGCACTCGACAGCAGTCGCCATGCCAGCCGGATCATGCCGGACGAGCCAGCCACCAACACGGCCAGCGGTTCCAACGAGGAGGAGGACGAGAATGCCATCTCACCGGACATTGACGACTGTCATGTCATTGTGAACGACAAGTCCACCGAGTTCATGCTGGCGACCGTCGTCGAGGAGACCGGCAAGTGAGTAACCCCCCCTGCGCACCCAATGGGTGTCCAAAACAGATCCTACGGCTCCTTCTATGCCAGGCACCGGCACCAGCACCAGCCCCAGCCCCAGCCCCACTGGCCATGCTTTTGGCTTTGTTGCACAGTATAATTTTAGGGGGAAATCGGCAACCTGGCAACCTGATTTTTCACGTGCCACAAGCACGTAATAAAGCTGCACTCAGTGCTCCGGGCCATGCAGCCTGGAGAGTGGGCGGTCCTGTCCCTCGTCCACACACACAAAATTGTCAATCTAATTGCCAAAACTGCTCTGTCAGTGGGTCCCTCTCGGAACTGCTCTGATCAATTGTTTTGAAATAAGAGGAGCACTCAACTCTCTCACTCAGTCGTGCTCCGAAACCGAAACTGAATCTGAAACTGAATCTGAAACTCTGTCTGAGTTTCGATTTTGAGTCCGTGCCTGAGGCTGAGGCTGAGACGGAGACTCAGTCGGAACCCGCAGCCTGGCGTTAAACACAGTCAATTAGCATCCTGATGGCCTGCTTAATCCAATAAGGACATGAAATGAAACCATTAATGACCCGCCCGGATGCACAAAGAGGAATTGCGATGAGGTTGGGATTGGGTATTGGGTATTGGGCACAGACCACGCGACACACACCCACCTTATTGGCAACTTTCCACCCAATCGAGTAAAAAAAAAGAAGGCAAAGCCAAAGAAGATGTGAAAAATAAATCTGAATAATTCAATTAATGCGTCACTTAATTAAAACTCAATTTATGCCTTGCCTTTAATTGACGTTGCGCCCCCCAATTTCATCTTCTCGTCCTCTCATCGACATCGCCATCGTCGTCGTCGTCGTTGCTATCTTCGGTCTGCCTGCCTGCCTGCCTGCCTGCCTGCCTGCCTGTCTGTGCCATCGATTGATTGATTGTCCTGCCCGGATTGCATTGCATTTGACGCGCCCCAACGCCAATGCCATCCAACCACCGCCAATCATCATCTGGAACGAACGAACGATTGGAAATTAAATGGGAAATCCCCGCGTCACTTTGGCGTCCGTGTGGCAGCAGCGTTGTGGCTCAGATCAGCACACAGCCACAGCTGGTGGTTGCCGATCCGAATGGTAATCATGATTCTGGTTATGCAGCCTCAAACGTTGACGATGTCCTTGCAGGCGTGGGCGTGGCCACGGGCCCGGCCGGCATCGCCGCAGCGGTGAGCAGCGCCACGCCCCCAGACAGCCCCCTGCCCAGCGGCGCCACGCTGCAGCGTTCGAGTGTCAGCAGCAGGCGCAACACGGCCGAGGATTCTCCGAAGCGCGGCGAGCCAGCACTCAGGTCAGTGGCAGTCGATCACTCCAGGTATTTGCCATTGAACATATTTATTTTAGAGCTTCCCACCGCTTAGTTGAACCCCCCACCACATATACATACATATATATTTTCATCGCACCAGCATAAATTATATTTTTTGCAACACGTTTTCCGTACTTGTATGTCATCTGTTGACAATCCACCAACCCACGAGTCCCTTCCCTACGACGCCTTTTCGTTTTCTATTGGATCAAGGGAGATTTTTCACCCAGCAATCGTAGCTCATACCAGCCATCATAGCTCACTGTAGCCTGTAGCCCTGTAGGTTGCCATTCATTCACCACGTCCACTTTCCGTAGTTTCCTCCACTTTCTCCTGCACTTGAATTGCCGAAACATTGCCTGATGTGCGGTCACGTTACGTTCCGTTCCGTTCCGTTTCGTTTCGTTTTCTGTTCCGTTTTGCAGCGTCGCCATGAAACCATTGTCCTTTGTCCGTTACGGAGTGCAGGAGGCCATGACTTTGGCACGCAACGACTCAACGCTATCGACCACATCGAAAACGTCCTCGCGCAAGGATAAGAAAAACTCGCAGGCGTCAAGGTGAGTAACGCCGTCCGTCCTCCCTAATTAGAGTTATTAGTTCAGCTTTGAGTGTTGGTAATGTAACTCCCCCAACCCCTACACTTTCAGTGGACTCGGACTCTTTCTATATATATTTTCACTTTCTTTCTCTCCCTCTCGGTAAATGCAATTTACCATGGCTTATTATCCCTGCCACTTGCCGTTCGCTGCTTGCGTGCCATGCCTTGCCGTCTATGGGCGTAGATTCACGATATACAAGGTGCACAAGGCCTCGAAAAAGAAACGCGAAAAATCGTCGGCAAAAAGGAACGCAAGGCCACAAAAACATTGGCCATCGTTTTGGGTAAGTTCATGCGGAAGCCAATAACAGGCAAAGACAAGTGGGTAGAAAGCCGTTCTCTATTTATTTTTATTCCATCCATAACTGGCTGGGCCAAAAGGTGTCTTCCTGTTTTGCTGGCTGCCATTCTTCACCTGCAACATCATGGACGCCATGTGCGCCAAATTTAATAAAGACTGCCGACCGGGTCTCACGGCCTACATGATGACCACCTGGCTGGGCTACATCAACAGCTTTGTCAATCCGGTGATCTATACGATATTCAATCCAGAGTTTCGCAAGGCCTTCAAGAAGATCATGCATATGGGGTGATTGAAAACGTCAAGCAGAAGGACACCAGCAACAGCAGCAGCAACAACAGAAGCAGCAGCACTCACAACAAAAATAGCAATAGAAAGAAAGCAGAAACTGGACTAAACTGTATTTAATCGAAGGTGTAAGCAGTAGTTGGGGGTAGTAATGAAGCGATGGATGAATGGATGGATGAAGCGATGGATAAATGAATGTATGTTTGGAGCACAGTGCCAAATGCAAGATCGATCGATACTCGCCACTCAATTAGGCATATAAGTCTCGAGGCATAGGAATTCCCCAACCCTTCCCCTTTCGTTTCCTTTTCGTTTTGTAGTTACTGTAGGCACTAAGGCATTTGTACTCAAAGGTTCAGCTATCTATGTACATAGATTTGTATATACATTTTCCTAATTATGCATAAGTACTCGTACTCGTTTATATATGTATGTATAATCTCCATACCAATATCGCTGCGTTGAGAGCACTACGAGCTGTAGGCTAGGTACAATTTTTAACAATTACGTTTAGCTAATCCCCAAGGATATAATCGAACCTCCCCTCATCCCACACTGAATGCTGAACACACTCTACTGTAGCCATAAGTTAACACAAGAGTGTGGCCAATGTTCGCTTTGAATTTTGTATGCTATATCCTTACCCCTGATGACATATCACGAGCGGAAAATTACTCGTACTCCCCACACCGAATGATGCCCACTTCCCCCCTTCCAGACCCCACCCAAAATGAGTAGTTAAGAAGTAGAGAAGAAATTCCATATCTTTAAAGGCAACACGAAGCAGAAAGTTCGATACTTCGATACGTGGTATCGATATAACTAGTGTAAGGCAGCTTTATGTAAGGCAGCAGAATAGGGTTAAGGGTGGCAAGCAGGGCCTTGAGGTCAGCGGGCCCAAACACACACGCACACACGCACACACACACACACAGCACACACAGACACGCGCACACGAATGATATTATTTATCGATAAGTTATCGATAAGCAAAGTAACGAATGAATTGGTATGGGTGGGTCAAGAATGGTGACGGTAACTCAAATATATATTTTCTATTAGCCTATCGCTAAATTGTATCGATCATAAGTCAAATATTTGATCGATAAATGCATCGATAGTTTTCCAAAATTGATTGTAATCAATCAAGAACTGATTTCCAACATCGCTTTGCCCACCCAACGAACGTATGCAGGCAAAGGCAATCGATCCGATTGCATATATCGATTGGCACACAAACACACACACACACACAAGCAGACACACACAACCACAAACTACATAAATGAGCCCCACAAATCAAAGAAGATCGCAGGAACGCTGACCCTCGATGCCCACCCTGCTTACAGATCACAATTCTGACTATGTTTCAGTTGAAACTAGGCATAGGCATAGTCTTAGGAATAGGGAAGAAATTCGTGTTAAGAGGAATCGATAGTGAAAGATGTAAGCGCATTTAAAACATTAAGCTCGTACTTAGTGTAGTCCCATAGACTACTAGACATAGAGTACATAGAGTAAGTTAAGCAGAGGCGTACCTAGTACGCCCATACCAAAGCCCCCAGAATATTCAGATCATTTTCAGATCCCCCCAAAAGAAGAAAATAATATGTGTATGTATGTGTGTATGTGTTAACCATAGCCGATACTAGAGAGCTGCAACTGCAAGTGTGCAGAATGTAGGTGTAAGGAGAGTGCATAGCAATTCGGACGAAGTGCGAAGAATCAGGGTACATACATGTAGAGCACATTACTAGAAGTAATATGCAGAGATGCTGTGGCGAAGGCAAAGTCCCAGCTGAGCGTACCACAATAGAATATGTAATATGTACTATATAATCGTTGTGTAGTATCGAAACTGAGTTTTGAAACACGGACCGAAACCCTCGACCCACCCAGCACCGATGACAGCTGGATGACTGTCGGATGAACCGGTCCAAACGATGCCCCCTCGAATGTGGACCTGGACCAGCGAAGTGCTGGCTGAAAAGAGAGTGGAGTTGGATTGGACTGTACGTGCATACGTGCATGTAAGGGTTGGCCTTCGTTTCGAGACTGCTCCAAACTGCTTGGAGGCTTTGCCCCTTGCTCTCAATCAGTATCAGGATCAGTGAGTGAGCACATTCGAATCGGCATCGAAACCTCAATCTTAATCCAAATCGTCATCGTTATCGGCATCGGTAAACGTTATCGAAGTTGGCCGGGTCGAGACACATTTGGCTTTGGGTCCCTGTGTTCAATGGCCGTCCTCTCAACTGTTTCTATGTGACAAATAATTGTTGGATACTCGTAAATGCATTGCCAAATGCAAAGGCAATACTTTATACAAAATTCCATATATGATATGAATGAATATTGTGTAGCACCTAAGCTCGGATTATGTGTACCTCCTCGGCTTAAGCATTAAGCGTTGCCACAGCTCACTCTTACCAACTAATCCGCGTAGGAAATTCAACGGCTCAACGGTTTTTATACTTTTCAAATAAAATCTATCTGATTGTCTCTCTGTGTGTGTGTGTGCATGAGGGTGCGTGTGTGTGTGAGTGGTGGTGATGGTGTTTTTTTTTTCTCATAAACTAAGTCATTATTCATAAGGAATAGTCTAAGTATAAAATTATAATGATGGAAACTGTTCAACATTCACTGATCAATGCAAAATGCTCCTAAGTTAGGTTCTTCCAAAGAAAACGCTTATTAATTATAGCTAATTGGTAACACACACACACAACTACACTTAACACACACACACACATATACACACACACACACACACACCTACATATTGTTGGTTTATCGAAATTATAGCCTGAGTTTCAGAGTCGATGAATTGTTATCTGTTGGATTTGTTTTTATGAAATTTGTGAATTGATACTTGGATACTTAGATACCCAGTTTAAGGATAGTAAATACTTAATCCTAAGGTCCCTCCGCATAATCAGCCCCCCTCCCCTCACCCCATATGAGTACTACATACATACATAGATAGTATACGAGTATGTACATACATATATACTCAGTTAGTGAGAGGTCTCTCTGCCCAGTAAGCATGCATACAATACGACAACAAAAAAGAAAAATAACAAAGAAAAAGAACAAAAGAGCATAACTATTTTAAAGCAATGGTCAAATTTGATTGTATTTTTTTTTTCTAGAACAATTACGATGATTATGCATTAAATGAAACGTAGGCTAAGTAAGCGCAAAAAAGAAAGGCAAACCAAAACAAAGCAAAGCAAAACAAACCAAACTACTGATGCAAACGGGAATAATTACCAATGGCTAATAATAAAAATAATATTAATAATAATATTAATAATAATAGCAATAGCAATAACAAACTAAACAACAATAAATGTAATAAAAATTGTTGGAATGGCCGCAGACAGCACGGGAAAGTGTGTGTGTGCGTGCGTGCGTGGGGGGTGGGGGGGTGGGGGAGCTGTATGAGAATACATTAAATAAATAATGAAAAATAAATATAAAACTGAAAATATTTCAAAGCAAAACCATCCAAAAAGTTTTCAATTCAAACGGGGTTTGGGGCGGAAATAAACACAAGAAAATTGTGGTTTGGGTTGTTTGGTAAGTACAAAGGAAGCCTGCGTACGTTCACCCATACTGTCGCACATATATCAACGTTTTATTGCATTTATATGAGCTGATAATAAAATTCCAATAAGCATGAAAAGAAATAAAAATACTTACACAAGACAAACAAGAGGAACAATGGAGTTGGGAGTCGCTGTGTTGTGGTGTCATGGAGTCGGAGAGTCTGGTTGTCTGGGCCTGTGCCAGGGCAAATGGTGGCTGGAAATCAATTTGATATTGAGGATTGGAACCCAAAACCGAAACTAAAAGCGTCTAAATAGATAAATGCACGGCAGGCAAGTAAGAGTGCGAGAGCGAGTAGTCACTTGGCCAAGACTCCATCAACTGGCAGTGGCATTGGCACCCCCCACTGCCTTTCCCCACTAAATCGTCATCGTCTAATGGGCACTCAGTCAGACTGAGTGGGAGACGTGGGAGACCGATTCGGAGACAGAAACTGAGAAGGAGGTAGGCATGAAATTAAGTGTGTCTCTCCGACTGTCTTGTCTGTGCATGAAGTGGTCTCAGGCACTGCAAGAAAATCTGAAATGATAAATGATACGATTAGCAGAAGCAGAAGCTACATTTTCTTCGCATATTTTTTTGGTATATTAAAAGAACGAGAAGGCATACAATAAATATATATATTCGGAAGTTGGTCGGAACAAGCTATGAAGCTGCGCATTTTTAACAGCTGATATTGCGCTCAGTGTAGTCGCTGGTGAATGCCAATTTCTGTTTTTGTGTACATGCATTATGCTCAACACCGTCCACCCAGGCGTCATCATCTCCATGTGCGTATCTGTATCTGTGCGCTGTATCTGTGTGCTGTGCTGTGCTGTGTCTTGGCCCTGGCCATAAATACAAATGTAAAAAGGGCAACCAGAGCCGACCTCTGACCCGACTCCGTTCAGGAATTCCTTCCCGGCCCGTTCGTTCGTTCGCTTCGATTGTCCGTCTTTGGCATTTGGGGTAGCGTGCCAATGCCAGAGCGAGGGCCAGAGGGTGAGGTTGAGACTTGTGTGCTCTATGTCCATAACTAATTCGTACTAAATGATGTACTAAAGTGTTGAGGAACATGGACCTACACACACACACACACACAGATGAGCATGTGGTAGGCGGAATAGATACCGGCAGCGGCAGGAATGGGACAGAAATGTTTTGTGCCTGATGGCGATATCTTATCGTTACACTCACTGGGTGGCGATAATTGACAGACCATTAACGTTTGGATTGCAAAAGCTAAAGTACAACTACACAGATATATGGACAGATAGATAGATAGATAGATAGATAGATACACGGCCAGACACACACACACAGACTCATTCGAGGGTGGTTAAAGGCATTTGCCAATGCCAATGCCCATGTCGATGTTCGTGATCAGAAAACTATGTGATTTACGTTTGACAAGAGTGCGGGCCGCACTGCCAGATTTCAACAACTAACTCATATTCCCCCTAAATATTCCTGGCAGGGGAAGCTGGGTTAGTGTCCCAAAATGAAGATTATACTACAAAAATTGGATAAAAAAAGAAGAATATATATACAGCCCAGCATAATAAAGGCATAATACCATAAA